AAGGAGTAGATGACCGATGGCTGAGGGGGAAGTACAATTGCCCCACGTGCGACATGGTGTTCAGCACGAGATTAAAGATGGAGAGGCACCACCAGCACATTCACTTGGGTATTGCTCCCTGGACAGGTAGCCACCTTTGCGAGGAATGCGGAAAGACTTTCACGCAGAAAGTTGGGTTGAGAGTCCACCGAATGCACAAGCATGGGGACCCAAAGCAGTTCCCTTGTGGTCTTTGTAGCTATGAGGGAGTAACAAAAGCTAAGTTAGCTCGACATATGAGGAGTCATTCAGAAGATCGAATCTTTACATGTGAATATTGTGGTTTAGCTTTGAAAACGGCAGACACATATAAAAACCATATGGCTCTACATACTAATGAAGGGAAATATCAGTGTAATGTTTGCCATAAGGCTTTCCATCATAAACAGTATTATGAAGATCACCACAGAAGTCATTTTGATATACGTGATTACAAGTGTGTAATTTGCCAAACCTCTTTCAAAACCAGCAAATCTTTGCGTACTCACATTAGAGGAGTTCACTTGAATGACAAGCGTATCGTTTGTACCATATGTGGTGCGAGATTTATGACTAATTACAACTTAAGAAGTCACATGAAAAAGCATGCTCGTGCTGAGCAAAATCATCCCAAGCACCAGTGTAAGATATGTAACAAAAAATTCCATAGTGTACCTGGGCTAGACACCCACCAGAGAGTTGCTCACCCAGAAGAATACCAGCCGGTCCAAATAAAAATAGAATCAGATGCCTCCTCCAGATCAACCCCACTTACCTCAGTCGTCTACAAGCGAATTAAGACCGAGCTGTGCGAAGAGATTGATGGCAGCCAGATTTACACAGCCGATGTCGAGCACATCATCGAAGAGGCTGGAACTGAGGCCATTGCCTATGCAGCCAAAGAGAATCTCCTTCAGGACTGCACGGAGGCAATAGAAACTGTTGAAGCCGTAGTCGAGGACAGCGGAGATATAGAACCAAGGCAGCACGTTAGCATTATATATGTCTACCCATGCAGTGACTGTGGTACCATGTTTACTTCTCAGGATTTGCTCATGACACACATGAAGACACACAAGTGATTTTATATTTTACAAAGTTTAAAAAGATCTGGATGAGTTCAAAATAGATAATTTATTTTGTTTGTAAATTATTGGAAAAGAATATTAAGCAAGCTATATGATTTATATGTGATAACTAAAGCATTTGAACAAATTCACTGTTTGCATGTATGTGGATGCATTAGTGAGAGAGAGAGAGAGAGAGAGAGAGAAAGAGAGAAAGAGAGAGAAAAGAAGAGAGATTTGTTAGGGTCATGCATACTAGTGGGAATGTATACGTGCCTATAAATATACAAAAATTTGCCTGACATGTAATTGTTTTATTATGCAAGGCTTGATTTTCCACAATTATTATATTTACCTTCAAATGACAAAGATAATTAATAATAAGGTTCTGTGAATGATCTTAAGGTCTATAAAGTGTATATTTTTTTTATCTATATACAACTTTCCACTCTTTTTATCATAATCCAAAGGAAAGAGAGAAAAAATAGGTATAGAACTCAAACAGTATATCTGTAAACTCGGCGACAGATGTTGAATAGTTTCATTTTCATTAGTTAAGTCTTCTGGCATTGCAGCTGATAGCCAGGCTTCATACTTTGTCATAATGCTTTTGAATATTAGTGGTAGATCCATAGAAAACCAAAAGTTCCACTGGCTTCATCTAACTCTGGGCTTACCCTTTAAGCCAGGTTTGCGGTCTAGGGAGTTAGGAGAGACAGACTCTGGGTATCCTTTTGACCAGATCCAAATGTTTTTTTTTTTTACACAGCCTACGGCCATCTATAGTGTAGAGGATCTCAGAAATTTGATGAATATCGTTATGCAGTTTTAACACCATTAAAAACATTTTTTGAGCCAGCCTAGACATACCAATCCCGGTGAAATAATTGGTATGTAGCAAAAACAAGAGACTTGGCAAGCTAGACCAGGGGGTTGGTCTGCCCTTAATTAAGCAACCTTCAAAATGTCAAAAGTTGTAAAACGCTAATTGATATATTAATGTGAAGGGGCTACATTTGCATTCCAATTCTTTCTTTCTTTATTACTTCCCTCTTCCTTGCTGTCTTTCTTACGTATTGTTTTTCTTTTCCCTGGTACATTTTAATAGTGGAACATGATTGCTTGTATGAAATTGGCAAGATCGTTATAATTACTATCTGTTATGACAAGGAAACGACATTATTGTTCTAGATGATTTTGATGTTTATTTCAGTTTAAATAGATTGGTGTTTGACAAAGGTAATAAGACTAAACTAAATAGAGACAGGATAAAGTTCAACTTAATTTGTTCTCCCTTCTTCTCTGTGTAGTTTAGTGTTTCTTTTCCATATTGGAAAGTATTAGAATATGGAATTCATAGCCATTTGCTCCAAAGAATTTCCGGTTATGAAGTACTGAATAAAGATTTGATATAT